GTAATTATATTATTAGTTATTTATTCTAAAATATAAAATTCTAACATATATAATATACATCATTACCAATAAGTTAAAGTGTGTTTATTTAAACCATTATTTCAAAATAAAATTGTATTTTGTTTAGTTGTACCACTCATAATTATTATGAATAATTACATAATTATTATGAATAGTTAAAAATTGTATTTTGTTTTTTTATATTTTGTTAGTATAAGTAAAATATGCAGTTATGGCCAAAGTTGTACCACTCATAATTATTATGAATAATTACATAATTATTATGAATAATTAAAAATTGTATTTTGTTTTTTTATATTTTGTTAGTATAAGTAAAATATGCAGTTAAAGTTGTACCACTCATAATTATTATGAATAATTACCTACAAATCCAAAATATGCATGCTGGCAACACACAAAACAATTTTGCCTTATGTGGATGATTTTATAGTTGACATCTAATAGAAAATTATCTTAAATGCTCTATATACATAAAAATCATGTGTAATCCAATCATTATTATCATTGAGTATGGTTATGACATCACTTATGGTTATGGCATCACCTATGGTTATGGCATCACTTATGGCTATGACATCACTTGCTAAATGTGCACAAGTGTAGCTATTATTATAAGACAGCAAGTCTGAATAAATTTTGCATGTTTAAAGATGTTTAATTTAAGATAGCAAATGTTTATGATATCATAAGTGCATCAAGTTGAGTCATTCTAGGAAAAAAATTATTTCTCTAAAAACTGACCATATGATATGTTGTAAAAAACATACAGGTTTCAAGCAAATTCTTAAACAGCTGCCTACAAATGTGAATGCTAGTACTCGCAAAGTTTAAAGATTTTCAAAAACTAAAATAATAATTGGTTAAAATAAAAACTTCTTTAAGAAAATGTTAATAATTTTACAAAGAACACAAAAATAAAACTATTAAAATTTGTCAGTATGTCATTTTCTCAGACAAAATGCATGTTGAGCATTTAAAAAATCACACAAAGTCAATGTTTGCCAGGCACCAAGCATGAGCTTGGTGCCTGTTTGCCAGGCACCAAGCTCATGCTTCATTTTTTTGCACCTGCTGTTAAGCAATTCCTAACAATTATGATTTAGGGTGCAATCACTCTGAATGGGTGTGCTGGTTTACATCTTTTACAACAAGATGAGATTATCAATTACACCATTTGTTTAGAAATACATTGAGTATAAATAGTTTTGAATCAGAAAAAACTGTTGATTCATCAACAAAGGTAATGAAATTAATGTAATTGTCTTAGGCTGAAAAAATTATTCAATTTAAATCCCATTAAAAACTGTTAAAAGCGAAAGTTTCTAAACAGAGCTTGATCTTATTAGTAGAAAGCATAACAGTTGATTATAGTGGGTCTCTTAGTGCCTCAGTGCCACACAGAATAGAGGCTGATCTAAATGTTTGACAAACCTATACAATACACTAAAAATGTTTTATACTGTGATCTTATTCTTTATTGTTATGACTTTATTATTTTGTGTTTATATATGTTGTTTTTGAATTGAAACATTTACTTATAGTAAATACGTAAAATAATGTGCCAAAGTATAAAAATGGTTTTTTGTTATAAATTTTAGGAGGTCTATTGGTCATAACTGTATACACCATATAGAAATCAAAAATTTAGTTACAATAATTTTGATATAAAAAAATGAAAAATAATAAACTTGTGTTTTTTTTATTTTTTATTTTTGATAAAATATTATGGTTTTTAAATATTTATTTTATAAATTTCTATGTAATGCTGTTATGCAATATTGTAGCAATTGTTCAGAGTATCTGCTTAAAAAGTGTTAAATCATTATGCAATATAGTTACAACAGTTCAGAGTATCTGTTATGCAATATAGCTGCAACAGTTCAGAGTATCTTTTATGCAATATAGTTGCAACAGTTCAGAGTATCTGTTTAAAAAGTGTTAAATCATTATGATCAGTATAAAAAGTTATGAAAATGTTTTTCAGAAAACATACGCTAGATCCTGATAATTTTGCGGGTTCAAATCAACTATTAAGCATAGTATTTTATTTTGATATATTCAATCTTGCTACTTTTTTAAATACAAAACTAAACAGTTTAAGCAAAAAAATTTTTTTTTTAAAATTTTGATAAGTTATCTTATATTACACATATATATTATACATGATTGTTCCTTACACCTCCTGCAAACTCAACTTAACATACTGGCATTAACATTTACAGAAATTTGTATGTAATGCTATAAAAATGGAAATTTTACATTAAATGTAAATGACACATAACTACTAATTTTCATAAGTTACATATTTATATACTCACATAGATTTTTTACACTTTGTATAAAAAAGTGTTGACTTTTTCTCACTATTAACAAGACTTTAATAACTGCCAAGAGTTTGGTGTTAAGCGTGCAAGAGTAAGCTATTACTATTATGTTAAGCATATTATATATAATAATATAATCTTTTTATCATTAAATTTACAAGATTTTATGTTATTTTTTCTGGTGTTGAGCCATTCTTTATTTTACTTAAATCATGAAAAAAAAAATAAAATCCTTTTTTAATATCTTTTTAAAGTTGAATATTTAATATATCTACTTTTCTGAAATAATGAACCAGCCATGCCCATAACATTTCTATATATTTAAGTCAGGGTTGTTAGCATGACGTTGTTGAAGTTCAATTTAATTTGTTGTTTGCATATTTTTGAAAAATATATTTTTAAAGCAGTTAATGATAATTTTTTGTGATGTTGCATGAAACAAATTAATAAATGTTCATTTCTTTGTGTTGAGATAGTTGGCTAACCAGATCTTTGTTGATCCTTTACAACACCTATTTTTTTTAAAATGCAGATGTGGCTAAAATCAAAATTATTAAAGAAAATTATTATAATATTACATTATTTCCAAAAAGAAAGCAGTTTAGCTTTTGACATCAAAGGTAATAATAGTTTTGAAATAAACGCTATTAAGTTATATATAAAAAATATATTCTATTAATAAAAATAAATGATATGTATAATAATATATAGCAATATTAGTTATAAATAGTGGTTCCCACCCATAAAATACAGGTCTTGATAAGTCTGTTCAACACAGACCATTTCTATACTTATTAACTTCAATATTTTGCATTTTTAAATTAGATGACATTTGTGTAACATTTCTCCCCGTGTTATTGAAAACCTAAGGCTATAATAAAATATAACCTTCTTATAAAAAGCAAAAGAAGACGCAGAAATGGGTCACAAAACCTAGTTATGTCATTTATGTTAGCTCTATCTGTTTTATATTTCTTATACATCGTATACATCAAAAGTACTTATAAAAACAATTTGCATTATAACATTGTTTCATTATTATATAGCTTTTAGTAAATGGAATAAAGGTTAACGAAATTTCTTTTTAGCTTTTAGAAAACGTTCAACATTCAGAACATTTCTTAAATTATTATGTGTAGAAAAACCTTCAAAATTTAGTCATAAGAAAAGGATTTTGACCTAAAGACGGCACAAAATTATTATTGAAAATATTTATTACATCTTGATTATGCATTAATGTGTTATGCACTCATTTTATTTGAAAACTTAAAAATGTGACTAAATAGATAACACATAAAAAACGTACCTTAAAAGATGTTGTTTTTTTTTTCAAAAAAGTTTCAACATTTATTGTTTCAAGTTTGGATTATAGACTCTTTTTGAAATAGTAATGCTGAAAAGAAATATTCCCAATAATATAAAAGTATGTTTTTATTAAAAAAATGAATCCTTGGCTTTTAGTGAATGATTATATGTAGCTAGTATTAGCTTGTTTGAGAATTTGAGAGTTATTGGTAGTATAATACATAAAAAAGACTCAACAGAAATTTTAAAATTAGTTTAAGTTATTAAGGGTTATTGAGAGTTTATTGTTCATATTTAACTATTAACAGCACACGCATAGAAATATCTACATAAACATTTACAAAATATAAATCAATATAACCTTATATAACACCTATTAACACATAGCAAATGATAAAAATCACATGAGAGATAAAAATACTTTTTAAAAATATACTAATATAACATTTAAAATACAACATTATTTGTGTAATATTTGTTAAATAACATACCTTAAAATGCATGTTTATAAAATTTAAAAAACTATCAAATAAATTGGTTCTAAAACGTACTACATAGAATTCGGTTTGTGTAAAAACCAAGGGTTTTTGAGATTAACACTAACTTTATCAAATTTTATAACACTTTGTGTACTAAATTGTATAAAAATAAATTCAATTATTTTAAGTAAAACATATTTAAAAAAAAATCTGATCTGCCAGTGTAACTTACGTCAAAGAAATAATTGTATAAATAAGACTTCAGCAAACGCAAGCTTATAAACATAATTTTAATGAGAAAAATTTTCTATTTTTATAAAAACTTACAAAAACATTTAAAACAGTCTATTTGTAAAAAAACCTATGGTATGGTTGCATAACCTGTATTTATTTTTCTAAATGCTAAAAAGGCTTTATACATTAAGTCTAAAAATAAAAAGTAGTGCTTAAAGTTTTATTTTTATAATTATCTTAAAAACTAAAAATCACATATGCGTTTAGCAGATGTTGTATTGCAAATCACTTATTTACTTTAGCAGATGTCGCTCTGTTACTGTTGGGGTAGCACTTGTTGATGTTATTACAACGACTCTACAGGCTATGAAAAATATTGTTTAAAATGCGTTATCTAATTAAAATTTTCATATTTTATGATTATACTAACTACAAACAGATTTTATTTTTCATCATGACAGTAAACCGCAATGCTAGCAAGGACAACATTCTTGCTCTCAACAAAACTAATTCACATTATAGTAAAGTACACCACTTACCTAGCAGGGACAACACTGTTGCTGTGAACTAATCTAAGTCAAAACACTTTGAAATCGCGAAAACAACATAATAACCACTTACAAAATATAAACACATA